TCTGTCTCTCTCTCTCTCTCTCTTCTATCCCATCCCCTCCCGCTCCTATCCCAAAAAACGCTCGTCACCACCTCTCAACCAACGTGGGCAGCAGAATAATATCAGCGTACCATACCACAGCGCGCGATGTGCTACCCCCCACACGACGAAGGCATTGATCACACGGCGCGCTCTGGACTGGATCCTCACCGAACTCAAAGGTCTATGTAACAAAGGTAGACGAGCGTCGTTTGACGGTGAACTGTGCTGTGAGTGTCGGTCTGTCCAGGAGCAGGCACTTTCTTGTTCCATTCATAATTATATTATTTATTGTTTCCTACAAGGAGGGGACACCAGTGGGTGTAAAAAGTACCGGACAATAATAGTAGGACGTGCGTACACGCGACAGAACCGTAATACGTAACGAGAGCGAAAGCGTGACAGGTGCGCTCTTTGGATAATTGTGTTCGCTTTTTTTTTCTTGTTTTGATTTTTTTTTTGGGGGGGGGGGGTTGTTTATTGGGGGTCCTCACGGGCCTTCAATTGGGGAGTAGTATCCGCCATTGTTCGAAAAGATAGCGTGCTTTTGTGAGTGACTAAAGGTGTGAGTTTCTGCGTTTTCCAAAGATCCTTTTTGGATGGACATTTCTGGCAGTGGTAGACAGCTTGATTGTTGTAATTAAGAATATGCATATATGTTTAAAAGGCCATTGCTAAAAATACAAGAACAAACAAACAAACAAACAAACAAACAAACAAACACACTGTTAATTGGGATCCTTCATTATATATGCTAGATATATATACTGCTACGTGTAAATAAAACATGTGGTGTCCATGTGTTGTCTTTTAATTAATGCTCAATATAACGACTCAGCACACCATAATACTTATGATTTCAACTCCGCTTTCAACACGTTAAGGCTATATTATTTTGCTGTATTTTTATATTTTCACTCTTTTTCGTGCTGATAACATTGAGTCAATTTGGTGCTTGACGGAGAACCACGAAACCCCCCCCCCAAAACAAAAACAAAAAAAATTAAAAAATTAAGCAAATTCAATTGACGCCCATTTGAAATTCAAATCAGGTTCACTTGCACGGCGGCTCAGCATGCTGACCCGATGCACCTTATAGTCTCCGACCGACACCCCCTCCCTCCTCTTTCAAGCAAATGGGCCAAACACCCAAGAACACCCCCTAATGTTATTTTTGACTCTGACATGGGCAGAGACACTGCAGATTCTTTGAATTTGAATAATGAGAGGCAAGATGGTTTCTTTATTCATTTTGTTTTCCTCAGGCAGATTTCCTCCCTGCAATATAGCTATAGGGCTAAATTATAATTAATAGAAGATATGACCCTATCAGATCAGAATGCGTCCAGGTCTGATAATATAATATTGCATCTGATTGCAAATAAAGTGATAGAAAGTAAAGATTAGAGTCAGATCAGAATGAGATGTTTTATAATAGATAATGTATTAAATATTATACTGATGCTTCTTACAAAAAGGTTTGGACTAAGCTTGGCGTAACTGAATTGCCTGTGAGCAAGTTCTTACAGACCTGAAATTTCTTTTCACTTTAACCAAAAATAAAACAACAACGAACAAACAAACAAACAAACAAACAAACAAACAAACAAACAAACAAACGAACACACAAAAACTAATACAATTAAATAATAATTTAGATTATTTTTTTGGGTGGATTTTGACCCTGCCTGTCATGCCCTATTCAGGCTGAGAAAGATAAAACGTCCCCTTAGAAAGACAGAGGTACGCATAGCACTCACCGAGAAGAGGAGTCAACAATTTTCCAGAGTTTTTCTTTTGTAATGAATTTAATGGAACTAGTTGTTGTTGTTGCTATTATTATTATCGTAGTTATTATTATTATTATTAT